TGGCTGGCGCCCAGTTGCTGTCACTGCTCTGGCCTTGCCTTTCATCGTCCTTCACTTGGCAGATGAAATTGTGAACGTTTGAGGCTTCTTTTTCTCCCTAAACAACAGTTTCTCTCTATGGCGGTGTGAACATCCCATTCTGAGTTAGTTCCCAAGTTTCAAAGTACATTTTCCCCCGGGGGTCGCAGTCGTATCTTTGTGCCCCAGTTCACTCGGGGTGGATTTAGAACGCATCCTTTGATCGATCCAGGGTGTGAATGGGGCAGGAAAATCTCTCTCTGGACCTCGTTGACAGCGAGGTGGTGGTGTTACACCAGGTGTGAATTTGGCCTCAGAAGAGGGTGAGTGATGAGTAAGCTTCTGCCTTTTTGATGATACCAGCTGCGAGCAGAAGCCAGATGCTTTGTCCCCACTTGTAGCTCACTCTGGTTAAGTATTATTATTTATATTATGTAGTAGCTATACATAGTGTTTTATGGCAGTAAAGATACATAAATCAGCAACCAGAAGGCGAGGGCTTTGCTCTAAAGAGCTTATAAATCTAACAGCTTGAGCAGCACCGGTAATGGACACAGTAAGCAGGCAGTCAAGTTGCGTGTAGACATGAGCCAAGATGGGTCTCCCAAAGCAGATGGCAGTTTAGGAGAGATTTGAAAGAGAAGCAACCTGCTCCATCCTCGAGACCAGATCCTGCTGGAGAATTAGACGGGCCGTGACCCATATGGCTTGTCCGGGTGGAGAAGTGAAAGCGTCCATCTGAGAAAAGCAGCTTGCAGAGAGGGAGCGGGCAGGGGGTGGCGAAGGCTCGTGTCAGGGCTGCCTTTCGGGGGGTTCTGTAGGTGCGTTCCCCCTGGGGCATCTATTCTTGTCCTAAGCGATTTCTTCCCCTGAGACTCCTAATGAAAATAAGTGGCATTACATCTTCCTAAATAAACCTAAGGCTCTGGTTTGCTCCAAGATACAGTAAAGCATTAAAAGCCTTAAAATGCAAGAAAACTGCTGGCACAGGTAGACCCTGCTCTCTGGATCAAGCAGTGCTGTGGGGACAGGCTGCCCGCAGAGCAGAGCTGAGCCGAGGCCAGCATCCCTGCCACGGTGGCAGAGAAGTGCTCCAACCCTTTGAACCTTCTACCCCTGGTCCTGGGTATCAAACCAGCTTTTTTTTTTTTTTTTTTTTTTAATTTCTTCCTGTGCTGGCACCAGCCCGGGAATAACCTGGTCTGGGCTGGCGAGAGATGTGCTGTGTCTGGCCGAGCTCGCTGGCTCCGGGTGTCTGCATTCTTCTGGCCACTTTCAGCTCTTGCACAAATTGAGGCTTCACGCTAAATGCATTACGCTGTATAACAATTAATCCCATGCTACATATAGAAAGTCCTTACTCATCAATAATGCATGCGGGAGGAGTGATTTTCACTCTCAGTAATAAGGCTAAGACAATGGAAACAAGCAGGTAATGGAGAACATTTATAATGATGTTAATCTAATAATGAGTATAATGCTGTTAAAAGAAAGACTGCAAACTGGACGCATCCAAAGATAAATTATTTCAAGCATTCATTAACTGATGTCTAATTAATGCCCAATTAGAGAGATGCTACATGGGAAATGGTTTGGACAGTCGGACGAATTCATTCCAATCACTGAAACCTCAGTCAAAAGCAGGAGGCAGCAGAAGCACACGGCGAGGAAGCCAGGGTGACACAGCGCACCTGGGAGAAAGCCAGGAGATAAACACCCCCTTGCTGGTTTTATCCATGTCAGCAGGGCTTTGTTTTTATTCACTTCACTGGCAGGTTTCTGTAGAATTTTTCCGTGCTGCTTTTGAAGCTCTGTCTCCCTGGTGAGCTCCAACACATGTGCTGGTGACCCTCCATCTGCCTCGCAACCTTTACAAGATGAAGTCAAAAGGCTGTGTCAGGAATAACAAGTTCAGCAAGTTAGGCAGGGTCTAACTCTCTCAGGAGCCGGGCTGGGACCTCTGGGAAGCTCCCACCAGTGCTTTCCAGCCTGGGAAGCCCAGCAAGACCCAAGCGCTCCCGCCTGTCTTGTCCCGGTGGGCTCGGCTGCTGGCCATCGTGATGGTGATGGTGGTGTTACCAGCCTCAGTAGCTTCATGACCACAGCCTGTTTGTTTCTAGGGGGTCTCATACCTGGATCTAAACTGTGATCAAGCCCAGGGGATCCCAGGAGCAGCTTCTCGCAGCACAGGGCAATCGGCAGATTATATGGGCTTGGAAGGAAAGAATCCTTGATGAGACCACGTGCCTATAGCGTGTCCACATGTTTCCTCTTTCCAAGTCCTGCCCACCTAATTATTATTTTTTCTAAGCATCCATCCTTCTGTTTTCCCATTCTCCTTACCCCAAGTTGCAGCACGTAGGTACAAAGACATCCCTGGCTTTTCTTCCTACTATCCTACTCTTGGGATGCTGAGAACCAGAAATACCCCAGACTATCCCCACCACCATCCATGACCGCAGGAGTCACATCTCCCTCTCCATAGGAACTCCAGCCATTAACTCACAAACGCCTGTTAATTAAAGAGATGGACTCAGTTTCCTCTGACCTTTACCTCCCGAGTTATCCCTGCAGGCAGGGAGCTGTTAAACACCACGCTCCCTTTCGGCAGGAGCTTCTACCTTGGCCGTGCTCCAGGGAGATCCAGGCTGCCTTCGTCCATCGCCGCACATTGCTAACAGCCGCCTGTCATCACCATCCCTATACGTGAAATCGTGTATGCTCCGAGATCCCTGCCCGGCTCCACCTCCCTTCAGTAATCCCATTAGCCTGGCTGAGCGCATAAAACTGTTTGGAAGCAATATGTAATCTTCCAACCTGCTGCTTATAGCTGGGAGATGGTTTATTGATTCAGACCCTTGTGATTTGGTATTTGCAATAACAGACTCCGCATGTGGGAGATCGTCACAGCGCTTGTGCCTGGCAGGATTTTACTAATAAACATAAGACCTACAGAAGGCTTCGTACTTCAGTGTCACCGAGGTAAGACGGGGAACGTGAAGCTGTCTCACCTTGACAAGCACATCCGTGGGTAAAAAACCCAGCAGAATGTGTCTGCAAACATAGCTTTATCTTTACCATCGTTATCTGGCACTCGGATAATCACAATATCCTCAGGATACCACTGTTTCCCAGGCTGCGCCTGCACGGCGAGTGGCAGCGAGGGCTCCTGTTTTGGCAGGGAGCGCTCGATAGTCAGCGCTGGCACGATGCTCCCACCAGCACAGCCCCTCTCTCATCGCAAAGGCACGACAGGAAAGCCAAAATGGTACAGCGGTGACTTGGAGAACGTTCCTTTTCCTACACAGCCGTAGGAGTTGTTGCAAATTAAACGTTCCTGACTTACAGTCCCTTTCTGGCAGCAGCGCAGGCATGAGACATCCCTCCTTGTAGCCGATGCTTAATTTCTGAAGGGCAGTGCCTGGAAGAAGTCCCCCCTTCTCACTGCAGCCAAGGCTTGGTCCAACGCTTTGGCTAGTGATGCTATTTTTTTTTTTATTAACAGCTCAGTCAGAGATGACTGCCTCTTACTGGTGATTTATGGAGAGTCTGAATAACCCAGTTTATCTAAAAATGTGACAACTTTGCCTTGAAAGGCTGGGTCCAGATGGACGGGTCACCTGCTGTTAACTATACAGTAATAGATCTCCATACCAGGCAAAAGGCAAGGGTAACCACAGAGTTATATTTCAAACACAATTAATAAGAAAACAGTGAGGGTTTTTTGCCTCCCACTTGTATTCAGCTGTAGGCGCTGAAAAGAGGGACTGTAAAAGCCCAAAGGGTCCAGGCTCATGGACTAGCTGGTGATAACGACGTGAAGTAATTAGAGATGAACTCCACTTCCACTCTCGTTTTTCAGATTATTACAAGCTGAGTGCAAGGCGAGGACTCGTGGGTAGGATGGCACTGGCAGCTGTACGCTGCTCCGATGTTGCTCCTTTCCCCTGTAAAGTCCAGAGGCAGAATTCATTAGACATGAGCAAATTTTGCGTGTAAGAGGAAAAAGCCAAATCTAGGAGGAAAATCTGAATGAGAAATGACAAGTCTGGTGCAATGAGTCTGAGAAGCCACTCGGTGCAGAAGGAATAGCCTGAAAGCAAGCCTGGTGCGAGGAGTGGGAGCAAGACGGGAACGGGGCGGTGAAACCAGTGCTCTGAGAGCTGAGCAGAGGGAGGGGATGATTACTGCCTTGCTCACCACTTCTCTGCAGCGAGAAAGCCCTGGTCACAAGCACATACTGTAGCATTAGAGGATGCAATATGCTTTGCCACAGGACATCCATTTAAAAATATGTCTGAGCATCCCACTTCCAAAGAGAGTTTTCAGCTCAGCTTTTTCCACCAACTGCTGACAACATATTTTCCTGTAAATCACTTGGTTTTCAGGGTGGATGGTGGTGTCTAACAACTGTAGGAAAAGGAGACGGCGGGGATGGGTCTGCGCCTTCAGGGCAGCTGGGTGTGCTGTGCAGATGCGCTGCACGTGTGTAATTTTAGGTGATTCGCTGGGAATTACTAAAGCTTTTCCTCTCCGATACGTAAGTGCGGGTGATTTAAGAGATGCATTACAGGAGGGGTGGATACCTATGAGTGTTTGCATCTCCTCTGTTTGCTCTCACACATTTGTACAACTGCCTTTCCCCCGACTGTGCTGCCTGCCTGCAGGCAAAGGGCTTTGCTGCCTGTACTGCCAGCATGAATTCCCCCAAGAAAGTTTCTCCTGCCCGGTTGGGGCTGGGAGCGCAACCGCCTGCCTGTTGCAGGCAGGGCGAGGAGGCAGGGAGCGCTCCATACGTCATACGTTTAAACTACTGTGGGCGACGAGCCCACTCATCAAAGCCGTGTGGGTAATTCATGAGCAGAGAGGAGGGCTGAGTTAATTGGGGGCGTTTTTCACCCAGAATAGTCCCCATGGCGGCGATGGGTGTGGGGGGGGTGCCTGAATCCCCGCTGACACCGCTCTCCCCTCTCTCTGCACAGGGGGGTTTGCAGAGCTACTCCTGGTGCTGCTGGGGCTGAAGGTGCCCGGCGCCCTGGGCTGCCCCACCGACTGCGTGTGCTACCCGTCCCCGATGACTGTCAGCTGCCAGGCTCACAACTTCGTCACCATCCCCGAGGGCATCCCCGAGGACAGTGAGAGGATCTTCCTCCAGAACAACCAGATCACCTTGCTGCTGCGGGGCCACTTCAGCCCCTCCATGGTCACCCTCTGGATCTACTCCAACAACATCACCTTCATCGACCCCAACACCTTCGACGGGTTCGTCAACCTGGAAGAGCTGGACCTGGGGGACAACCGCTACTTAAGGGCTTTAGCTGCAGACACTTTCCAAGGGCTGGTGAAACTCCATGCCTTGTATCTGTACAAGTGCGGGCTGAGCTCCCTCCCCAGCGGGATATTCAGTGTCCTCCACAACCTGCAATACCTTTACCTGCAAGACAACCACATTGAGTTCCTTCAGGATGATATTTTTGTTGACTTGGTTAACCTCAGCCATCTTTTTCTCCATGGAAACAAGCTCTGGAGCCTCCATCAGAACACGTTCAGGGGACTAATAAACCTGGATCGGCTGCTCATCCATCAAAATCAGCTGCAGTGGATTCACAGGCGGGCTTTTCACGACCTCCGAAGATTGACCACCCTTTTCCTGTTCAATAACAGCCTCTCGGAGCTGCAGGGGGACTGTCTGGCCCACCTGGGAGCCCTGGAGTTTCTCAGGCTGAACGGGAACCCGTGGAGCTGCGATTGCAAAGCCCGTTCACTCTGGGAATGCAGAGGTCCATGGGCCCCTGCTCTAGCGTCATCTGCGAGTCCCCCGAGCAGATGCACGGCAAGGACCTCAAGGTGCTAAGAGCAGAAGACTTTAGGAACTGTTCGGGGTCCGAGTCGCTCCACCAGATAAAAACACATACTTTCTCCACAGCGGACAGAGGAGCCTCCAAAACCCACCACCCTCACCACTCCTCCAAGGAGAAGGGGAAGGAGAGAGGGGCCAAGAACACATCTGCGAGTCCCCCGAGCAGATGCACGGCAAGGACCTCAAGGTGCTAAGAGCAGAAGACTTTAGGAACTGTTCGGGGTCCGAGTCGCTCCACCAGATAAAAACACATACTTTCTCCACAGCGGACAGAGGAGCCTCCAAAACCCACCACCCTCACCACTCCTCCAAGGAGAAGGGGAAGGAGAGAGGGGCCAAGAACAGTTTGCACAGCAGCCAGCCCGCCGCCCCCCCCAGCTCCCGGCCGGGCTATCGCAAACCCGGCAAGAACTGCACCAGCCACAAAAGCCGTAACCGAACCTCTAAGCCGGTATCCTCGGGGCCGCGGAAAAACGGGCAGGAGGTTCCAGACTATGTGCCTGATTATCAGCACAAATTCAGTTTCGGGGTGATGCCAACACTACCCCCCAAACGCAAGGGTAAGTGTACCCGGCGGACACCCATCCGCCCCCCCAGCGGGGTCCAGCAGGCAGCCGGCTGCTCGGGGCTCAGGGCATCGCTCCTGGTTTTTATGATGGTGTTAGCGGCCGTCATACGCTGAGCCCCCGGCTGCGGACGGAGCGAATCTGTACTGCCACCAATCTACAAAGGACCAGAGTTTCTTTTCTTCTTCTTTTTTTGTACGTGGCGAGCGTTGGCCTGGCGAAGGGAAGAACGTTGTCTCGGCTTCTGACAGTCTCTCCGTGCCCGGCCGGGCTGCCAGCGCGGACTGTGCCGAATGCAGCGGGAGCGGATTAAAAGGCATTATCACACCTTGTCACAAACAGCCTAACCGAGCACCTACAACAAAAAAAAGCCAACCTTACAAAAACCCAGATAACAGGGATGGTAGCCAATTCGTCGGCGACAACAACCGGACAAATGGACTGTATCCATGCTCTTGTGAAATCCTGTTCATTTGAGAGCGCTCTGAACGACCCCTCCAATTACTGAAAGGAACATAATTGCTGTAAAAATTATCACCAATTAAGCCTACACTGTTTCTCTGAAAGTGAGTGCAAGGACACTGACACCGATGTAATAAGGACATTGGTTCTCCCACATTTTAGCCCTTTTGGTTCCAAACCCAGAGGCCAAAGTTGGCTGGGAATCTCTTAGAAGACAATCTCAAACCCCTGAATATCTCAGGCATTACAGCAGAACAGGGCTTGCCTGCTGGGCTTGGAGTAGCCAACAACCAAAGGAAAGACTGATTAGAGGTGGAATTAAACAAAAAAAACCCCAACAAACCCAATACTTAAAGAAATGAGGTACCAACAGAAGGTGCGTTTTTTTGTAACCATGTTCACACATCTGAAAAAAAACCAACCCCAACAAATGCACAGGCTCCCCCTTTCCCCTCAATTATCCATATGTATGTCTTATAATGTTTATAAACTATATGGAAACTATATCTTCAGAACTAAGGATTGTATTGTTGAATTTATAGCAGACCAGTATATGATTTTTTTCTCAAGAAAACAAACCGGCAGCAGTGCCTACAGATGCTGAAAGCCATTGGGCGGGCTCAGTACGCATGGGGGAACCACAGCGGACCAATGTTCTTGGCAACTCAGAGCACTAAACTTTGGGA